AGAGGGGTCAAATACTTATTTCCCTCATTCAAATGCAAATCAATTTATAACATTTTTGACATGCGTTTTTCTGGATTTTTGTTGTTGTAATTCTGTCTCTCACTGTTCAAATAAACCTACCATTAGAATTATAGACTGATCATTTCTTTGTCAGTGGGAAAACGTACAAAATCAGCAGGGGATCAAATTCTCTCTTCCCTCACTGTATAAACGTCCTTTAATATAAAAAAGAATAATACAGCGCAAACGTACAAAATCCACTCCAGGCCAATATCTTCACGTTCAAAACTCTTCATCGGCATCATCAGCCACTGCTGGATGCGGCCGTCCCCACGCTCTTGCCTTAACATGCTTCTGATTTTATTATTTTATTATCTTCCGTGCCGGCCAGGCGTCTCGGAAGAAGCAAGAGCACCCACATGGTACCCCTCCACATGGAACCTGCTGGTCAATTAACCGCAGAAAAACCCATTTATACTGCCGGGTGGAAAGAGGTGGAAAGAGGTGGATGGAGGAGGAGGGAGGAGGAGGGAGGAGGGAGGAGGGAGGAGGGAGGAGGGAGGAGGGAGGAGGAGGGAGGAGGGAGGAGGAGGGAGGAGGGAGGAGGGAGGAGGGAGGAGGGAGGAGGGAGGAGGGAGGAGGGAGGAGGGAGGAGGGAGGAGGGAGGAGGGAGGAGGAGGAGGAGGAGGAGGAGGAGGAGGAGGAGGAGGAGGAGGAGGAGGAGGAGGAGGAGGAGGAGGAGGAGGAGGAGGAGGAGGAGGAGGAGGAGGAGGAGGGAGGGCATTTAAGAAACTTGCCAAGCCGAATGTTTCAACTGGCATGCCAAGAGATTGAACCGGCAACATTTGAACTGCAAAGTGCAGTGTGCGCTTGCATAACGCCGAGGCAGCATCCAGAGGTCAACTAAGAGGGTGGGGGGGGGGGGAAGTTTCAGGTCACAATATTTTTCTACTGCTACTATTATACGCTGCTGTGTTATTGTCCACCTTCACACGAGAGGAGGAGTTACTACTACGAAAAATATATATATTTTTTATTTTATCAGGTAAGGTCCACTGAGACATGCAGCTCTCTTTCAGAAGCTGCCTGGCGATCACAATTGACAGCTCAACCAAGTGGCTAACCGTGCGGACATTTATAGCAGCCAAACACTCTAAACGCATGTTGATTTTAAATGTGGAGGGAAAACCCGGAGGACCCGGTGAAAAATCCGCACGACCACGGGGGAGAACATGCAAACTCCAAATATACAGCAGGCATCAGGGGTCGGGATTGAACTCACGACTTCCTTTATATTATTACTATATCTTGCTACTGGCAAAGGAGGTCTCATAATGTAAATGCTCACCCCGAGCTCTCATACTCTGATAGTGCGCTGTTTTTGAGTTGTATGCCTTTTGGCGTCATCTGGTCCAGCACCAGTGGAGACTAGGCTCTAAGAAAAGCCGTCTCGGGTGTGGACCAATCAATTTCAAGGACAGTGCATATCATTATCAGAGTTGTCTTTTTTGTTTGCATTTTGACTGCTTGTGTTGTGGTTATTGCAAAAATGATCCCTTGTATAAAGGAGTCAGTTTTGGTGCCAGATAAAAGGGTAAAAACCTATTACTATCACGACTTCCTGTATACCAGGCGAGGTAGTTAACATCTTGCCTTGGTGCGAGACGCCGCAGTCATTTAAAATCTTGTGCCCGCAGAGGAGTTTATTGTGCACGGTGAGCAGGGCGCACAACTTGTTCACATTCACGAACTTCGCGGTGCCAACATGACATCCTCCCTCGTCACAACATATACCCCTGACCGATTACAGCTCCTTGCTACATCATTTTTTCATTTTACACATAACTGTACATTATTTGCAAACTTTGTTTGACGTTAAACGCTCTCGTCAATGCAATGTACACTTGCTGCAATTTTTTGTTCATTACAAAATTTACATAAATCCTGGTTGGGGAAGGGGTCAACTTAGCTCATCTTCCCGTTGGGGTTAATAGGGGTGCCACGGAGCTGAGATGTTAACTACCTCGCCTGGTATACAGGAGGTCGTGGTTTCGATCCCAACACTGACGCCTGCTGTATATTTGGAGTTTGCATCTCTCTCCCCATGGTCGCGTGGATTTTTCTCTGGATCCTCCGGTTTTTCCGTCCACATTTACAAACATGCGTTTAGAGTATTTGTCTGCAATAAATGTCCACATGATAAGCCACTTTCGTTGATGCAGGAAGACACTTTCTTCCATTTTCACTGTTGCAAACTACTCATTCCTACGGCAGGAATTAACTTCTCAAAAGAGGAACCGCAGTGGACTCAGGTATAATTTATAATTATTACTAGCGGGACGTACCCGGCGTTGCCCGGGCGAAAAAGACACACACACCGACTTAGACACACACAACAACAACCGCCATTCGCCACTAAGTGGCAGTGACGTCACCACGACGCTTGTGGCAGGCTATGTGTACCTTGAGGCCACGTGAAGTGTCGAACGCCCGCTGGCAGGTCACGGGGCAGACCCAGGTGCCACGGGTCGACTGACTGAGATGACTGGCTGATGCACCTGTACCACATCACTCCATCTCTTCTCTAGCCCGTGCCACGCCCGTTTAGCCCCCTCGATCTGGACAAACAAAAGCTGTTTAGACATGCGGTGGCTGGGCATGCGGGCTACATGACCCAGCCAATGCAGCCTTGCCTGCCGTAGGAGCTCACCGATGGGACTTTGTCCAAATCTTTCAAGGATTTGTAAGCTCCTCACACAATCCAGCCTAGTTAAATCCAGGCTGGATCGTAGGCAGGCCAGCCTAAATGTTTCTAACCGGCGAAGATGTGCCATTAGGGGGGTCCACGTTTTGCAAGCGTAGAGAAGGGAGGGAATGACCGTGGCCGAGAAGACCTGAAGCTTCGTGCGGAGCGAAAGACCAGGTAGCTTCCACACAGCGTTACGCAACCGATGAAAAGATATTGCCGCTCGAGTGATTCGGAGTGAGACCTCTGCTGTTAAACCGGAGCCAGTCATGAGCACACTGCCCAGGTATGGGAAACTCTCCACTCTCTGATACACACGGACGTACACACACACTAACGCACATGGACTCACACAAGGACTTAGACACAATAATAAATATAATATTGACCAAGTAAATTTTGAAATATCAGTTGTCAGCACACAAACAAAAATATTTGAATATTTCCAAGGTGATTATTAAAATAATAGGTTTTTTATGTACGTGAGTTTAGCGAAAGCAAGAAATATAAAAATTAGTTGTCTGCACACAAACATTATTAATGTAATATCTGCAAGGTGATAATTTAAATAATAGGTTTCTATCAACGTGAGTTTAGCGAAAGAAGCAAGAAATTAGTACTTAACATCGCCGTGGTGAGGCCTAGTCCCATGCAGAGCCCCTGGCCTCACATAGATTGCCTAGCCGGCCGAGGTGGCACCTTGGCAGGCTGGGCTGCTACGCTCCCCCCCCCCCCAGCCACGATTTCCTGCTCTGCAGTAATATATACGGCCTATAATGGTAGCATCTACCAACTGTATAGTATTAACTGCACGCATCGGGGTGGGGGGAGGGGGACATCGCACTGTGAATGTACCTCAGCGTTTTGTGTATTTTTATTGCATTTTTTTACGCAAAAGAAAATGTCCCCCTCACCCCCACTGAACGCATGTGACTTGGTAGGGGCTGTCCCCCCCACCGAAGGCGTGGGAGTTGGTATGGTCGAGCGCGAGTAATAAATAAAAATGACACTAAATCGCTCAATAATATAACTTAAAAGTTGACGGATGGGAAAAAGGAGTAGCGCTTGCTCACCACGGGGCTTTTGGCGTGGTACCTGGCTATTTTTTTTTACGTAAACCCCACCGTTCGAGAGGCAAATCCTTCGCAAGTGTGCAAACACGCGCACAGTCAGACAGACAGACAAAAAATGTCATTTATATATCAGACGAGCTTTACTACCCGGCTTCGCCCGGGACTTGGATTCTTGTGTTGGATTAATACACGGCCTACGTGGAGGGTTTGGGGGAGGGGGGATGCGTGACGTCAGCAGGCACACTGCGTGACGCTTCCGTATGCGGGTGACATCACAGATGTGACGTCACCGCTTACTTGCCGTGCAAAATATATGCATTTTAACACGTAGGCTTTCGCGACCAAAATTATTCATAATATAGGTTTTTGGGTTAGATCGCGTTATTTATAAATGTGTCGTAACCCTCCACCACCCGACACGGCCAATCAGCAAAAAAGTGTCACGTTGACAAAAGACAAATAGTTCACTACTTTAGCCCACCGGTGTGTTGAAGAGTGAATCCACAACATTCGCCATTCTGGCGAATTACCCGATGATTCTGGTGAATTGCCCGATGATGCTGGATGTAATTACCAGCGAAACGTCGTACTCAAACTGTAAATGTTGTGGATTCACTCTTCAACACACCGGTGGGCTAAAGTAGTGAACTATTTGTCTTTTGTCAACATGACACTTTTTTGCTGATTGGCCGTGTCGGGTGGTGGAGGGTTACGACACATTTATAAATAACGCGATCTAACCCAAAAACCTTTATTATGAATAAAATATATCCATTATTGCACCCCCCCTCCCAAAAAAAAGTATATTTTTATACTTTTTGCATTGTGTACAGTCTGGAAACGACCCACATGGCAAATATCCAGTTTGTTGCATGTCGGGGAGTATGCTAAACATTTTGAACAGACACACATATTCACAACTTTGCCTTCCATATATATGGAGATAATTAAATTGCACAGGACAGAGTGGTAGTGTAGCGGTCAGCACACGTCACGATATCACAGCCAGTCCTGGACTTTTCGGCCACTGACCCACACTGACCAGCGTGGTAAGATATGGCCAAAGCAAGCCCCATGACTGGAATGGCACGGGGAAGACTCTTTACACACGTAAAGACACAAGTGGCTTTTGCATACGGTCCCATGCCCACTACAAAAATGAAGAAGGGACGGTACCTCACCTTGCGTGCAATGGGTTTTTGTCCCTCCATGCAGCCATACCAACTGACCAGCTTGTTCCATGCCTCGGTGGGCACCAGCACATAGTCCAGCTCGTCAATGAGGTTTTCTTTCAGGGTCTGCTCCTCGGTCTCTTCGTCACGACGGGGGACAGCACATACACACGCTCACCCGTGTCACACTCCAGCCTCCCGTGCACACGGCACAGCCGCGGTTATTCAAGGTCCTAAGCGGCTGCATCGGCTCCACGGCTTTCACCGTAACGAGCAACGCAACGTAAACACCGTGGGCGCTGACATCGATTGGCTAAATGTGCCGGGGAGTAGAAGGGTGTTTACTGCTCAAATGTTGAAAGTGAAAATTAAAATTGTGCTGGATGCTGCTCAGTTTAGCTTCCAAATGTAACTATTCAAACTATTTTTTGTTTTTACCAGGTAAGGCCCCCTGAGCTATATAGCGCTTTTTCAGAAGTGACCTGCCCACAAATGATAGCTCAACAAAGTGGGTTCCCGTGTGGAAATGTATGCAGCCAAATATTCTCCGAAAGCACGTCGATTCTAAATGTGGAGGCAAAAAACAGAGGACCCGGAGAAAGATCAACACGGCCACGGGGAGAACACGCAAACTCAAAATATACAGGCGTCAGGGTCGGGATGGAACCCACGACCTCCTGAATACCAGGCGAGGTAGTTAACATCTCGCCACCACAGCCCCCCAATGAACGCTTCTTGCTCGACAAGGCTACATGCTGCAGGGCACCGTGTAAGGGTGACAGAGCAATGCATCGAGTGAAATGCAAGAGGGACAAAACGGCTTGATTAGAGCTTTTAGTAGGGCTGTTACTTTCAACATAAGTCGATCTATAAGCGATGCTGATCGCTACGACGCTCTCAAATTATGCCATGCGGTAGCTGTTTTGTAATGTGTGTAAAATGCAGCGACTGAGAAGATGTGATCAATGTCTCTGGCTGTACACGAATCAACAAATGACACGGTAAGGCAACTTCCATGAAATTAACAAAAAGCGTTCTTCAAACATGTGCGGAAATGACCATGACACCAGAATGAACTGTACATGGTATCGTGACAAACTGGAGTCTTACAATTAAACGAAACTCGTTGGTATAAAGGTAAAATTGTCAGCATAGCGATAACACTTTTGAGATTGCGAACGTTTCGGTTACCGACGCAAGTTGAGGTATGTCGATCGAAATGTGTGTGAATTATTTGCCGAGTAAGCGGCGTATTACACAGCTCACCGCTCAGCAATACAGCCAGCCAAGGTGACCCCAGAGTTAAAAGGTGTGGCCAATAAAGTCGATGTGAAATACAGTGACGAAGTACTACCCCCCCTTGTAAGTCAACAGCCGGTACTCACGAGTGACCACGCAGGGCATGAACACTCGGCCCCATTAACTCACTGCAAGAAAGGTTAAACTGTTTTAATTGTTCCCCTGGCCTAATTGGTATGGCAAAGTGTAAGCATTGACTACACATTCAAGAGGAACACGCATGTACACGTGGAAACACTAACCTTTAAATAGGCCAGAGTTGTCTACGGGTCCAGGCAGGCTCTGTTGCCCCATCTGGTGCATGTCCCAGCTGTCGAACCTCACAAACTTCTTCCATAGTTTGAACCATCGGCTGTCGATGAGGTACCTGCCGAGAGAAATGCAGTGGTTCACTCGCCCGTCTTTCCATAATTTATTGCAATGTTCCACGAGGTGAAATAGTTTGCCCTGACAAGGGCAAGCAGACAATTTTAGTTTTTTTTTTTTGCTAAATGAATTCACGTCACCAATTATATCCATGAAAGAACTAGCTGCGAGCTACTTCATTCCCTCGCACAGTAGTTAAAGAGAATCCCTGGCAACGTAATATTCACAACCATGCATAATTAAATATGCCCATCTGCCCGTATTGTGCCGATGAAGCAGGGCTGGCTTAAAGGAACCGGGTTCATACATTTCAAACGGAGCCAACACAAAACCCACTGCCCCCTGCCAATGGAGCAGCGGTTGGGACAGTGATGGTCACCTCTTGAGCACCGAGACCAATGCAGCTCGAGTGGCTTCCTGCACTAGCCCACATGGAAACCTCCAGACGTCCGCAGGCAAAACATTCTCCTAAAAGAACATCACGGGCTGTCAGCCAATGAAGCACTCCCACTGACAAAAAGGAACCCCCTCACCACACCACGCACACGTCTGAAATCCCGCAGTCCCCTACTGGCATAAGCTCCAAGCTCGAAGGGGCGATTCCCGGTTGACTGCGAACATCACCAATAGCAACCTGATAACTGACCCGAGCAGTGAAGTCCTAGAGTTCAAGCTTCCATGGAAAACTTGGACAACTCTCGACCACTTGAGGACAGGGGCCAGGCAAGATGTTGCCACTTGCTCCACAAGTGCAGCGTGAGGAGCAGCCCAGATTGTGACTGTGGCCACCGTCCAGGTCAGACAATCGCCCCAAGCACTGAACTCCTGCCCCGAGATAGATACATTTCCGGTGGCATCGCAACAACTTACTCTGCCTCACCTGAAGCTGTTGAATGGATCGATAACCTAAAAATCAAATCGTGACTCCTGCCGCAGCCATACAAGGAACAAGACCTGCATTTAAAATTTCGTGCTAAAGCGATGAGACATTTTTCATAAATCATTAACCATCAGCCATTCTTAAATTTCCGACTCCAGGCATACGGCCTCCAAAATGCCGATGAGTGACGACTGAGTGATGAGTGACCACTATGAGTGACGACTATGAGTGACGACTATGAGTGACGACTGAGTAATGAGTGACGACTATGAGTGACGACTATGAGTGACGACTATGAGTGACGACTATGAGTGACGACTATGAGTGACGACTGAGTAATGAGTGACGACTATGAGTGACGACTGAGTAATGAGTGACGACTATGAGCAATGAGTGACGACTATGAGTGATGACTATGAGTAAGAGTGACGACTATGAGTAATGAGTGACGACTGAGTAATGAGTGACGACTGAGTGATGACAATGAGTCATGAGTGACGACTATGAGTGATGACTATGAGTAATGAGTGATGACTATGAGTGACGACTATGAGTGACGACTATGAGTGACGACTATGAGTGATGAGTGACGACTATGAGTGACGACTGAGTGATGAGTGACGACTATGAGTGACGATGAGTGATGAGTGACGACTATGAGTGATGAGTGACGACTATGAGTGACGACGATGAGTAATGAGTGACGACTGAGCGACGACTATGAGTGATGAGCGACGACTATGAGTGATGAGTGACGAGTAATGAGTGACGAGTAATGAGTGACGACTATGAGTGACGACTATGAGTGATGACTATGAGTGACGACTATGAGTGACGACTATGAGTGACGACTATGAGTGATGAGTGACGACTATGAGTGACGACTATGAGTGATGAGTGACGACTATGAGTGACGACGATGAGTAATGAGTGACGACTGAGCGACGACTATGAGTGATGAGCGACGACTATGAGTGATGAGTGACGAGTAATGAGTGACGACTATGAGTGACGACTATGAGTGATGAGTGACGACTATGAGTGACGACTATGAGTGATGACTATGAGTGACGACTATGAGTGATGAGTGACGACTATGAGTGACGACTATGAGTGACGACTATGAGTGATGAGTGACGACTATGAGTGACGACTATGAGTGATGAGTGACGACTATGAGTGACGACGATGAGTAATGAGTGACGACTGAGCGACGACTATGAGTGATGAGCGACGACTATGAGTGACGACTATGAGTGACGACTATGAGTGACGACTATGAGTGATGAGTGACGACTATGAGTGACGACTATGAGTGATGAGTGACGACTATGAGTGATGAGTGACGACTATGAGTGACGACTATGAGTGATGAGTGACGACTATGAGTGACGACTATGAGTGACGACTATGAGTGATGAGTGACGACTATGAGTGACGACTATGAGTGATGAGTGACGGACTATGAGTAGTGTAGTGACGACTATGAGTAGTGAGTGACGACTATGAGTGATGAGTGACGACTATGAGTAATGAGTGACGACTATGAGTGATGACTATGAGTGACGACCTATGAGTGATGAGTGACGACTATGAGTGACGACTATGAGTGACGACTATGAGTGACGACTATGAGTGATGAGTGACGACTATGAGTGACGACTATGAGTGATGAGTGACGACTATGAGTGATGAGTGACGACTATGAGTGACGACTATGAGTGATGAGTGACGACCTATGAGTGACGACTATGAGTGACGACTATGAGTGATGAGTGACGACTATGAGTGACGACTATGAGTGATGAGTGACGACTATGAGTAGTGAGTGACGACTATGAGTAGTGAGTGACGACTATGAGTGATGAGTGACGACTATGAGTAATGAGTGACGACTATGAGTGATGAGTGACGACTATGAGTAGTGAGTGACGACTATGAGTAATGAGTGACGACTATGAGTGATGAGCGACGACTATGAGTGATGAGTGACGAGTAATGAGTTGACGACTATGAGTGACGACTATGAGTGATGAGTGACGACTTATGAGTGACGACTATGAGTGATGAGTGACGACTATGAGTAATGAGTGACGACTATGAGTGATGAGCGACGACCTATGAGTGATGAGGCGACGACTATGAGTGATGAGTGACGAGTAATGAGTGACGACTATGAGTGACGACTATGAGTGATGAGTGACGACTATGAGTGACGACTATGAGTGATGAGTGACGACTATGAGTGACCGACTATGAGTGACGACTATGAGTGATGAGTGACGACTATGAGTGACGACTATGAGTGATGAGTGACGACTATGAGTAGTGAGTGACGACTATGAGTAGTGAGTGTACGACTATGAGTGATGAGTGACGACTATGAGTAATGAGTGACGACTATGAGTGATGAGTGACGACTATGAGTAGTGAGTGACGACTATGAGTAATGAGTGACGACTATGAGTGATGAGCGACGACTATGAGTGATGGTGACGAGTAATGAGTGACGACTATGAGTGACGACTATGAGTGATGAGTGACGACTATGAGTGACGACTATGAGTGATGAGTGACGACTATGAGTGATGAGTGACGACTATGAGTGACGACTATGAGTTGACGACTATGAGTGATGAGTGACGACTATGAGTGACGACTATGAGTGATGAGTGACGACTATGAGTAGTGAGTGACGACTATGAGTAGTGAGTGACGACTATGAGTAATGAGTGACGACTATGAGTAATGAGTGACGACTATGAGTAATGAGTGACCGACTATGAGTGATGAGTGACGACTATGAGTGATGAGTGACGACTATGAGTGATGAGTGACGACTATGAGTGACGACTATGAGTGATGAGTGACGACTATGAGTGACGACTATGAGTGAGAACGACTTATGAGTGATGAGTGACGACTATGAGTGACGACTATGAGTGATGAGTGACGACTATGAGTAGTGAGTGACGACTATGAGTAGTGAGTGACGACTATGAGTGATGAGTGACGACTATGAGTAATGAGTGACGACTATGAGTGATGACTATGAGTGACGACTATGAGTGATGAGTGACGACTATGAGTGACGACTATGAGTGACGACTATGAGTGACGACTATGAGTGATGAGTGACGACTATGAGTGACGACTATGAGTGATGAGTGACGACTATGAGTGATGAGTGACGACTATGAGTGACGACTATGAGTGATGAGTGACGACTATGAGTGACGACTATGAGTGACGACTATGAGTGATGAGTGACGACTATGAGTGACGACTATGAGTGATGAGTGACGACTATGAGTAGTGAGTGACGACTATGAGTAGTGAGTGACGACTATGAGTGATGAGTGACGACTATGAGTAATGAGTGACGACTATGAGTGATGAGTGACGACTATGAGTAGTGAGTGACGACTATGAGTAATGAGTGACGACTATGAGTGATGAGCGACGACTATGAGTGATGAGTGACGAGTAATGAGTGACGACTATGAGTGACGACTATGAGTGATGAGTGACGACTATGAGTGACGACTATGAGTGATGAGTGACGACTATGAGTGATGAGTGACGACTATGAGTGACGACTATGAGTGACGACTATGAGTGATGAGTGACGACTATGAGTGACGACTATGAGTGATGAGTGACGACTATGAGTAGTGAGTGACGACTATGAGTAGTGAGTGACGACTATGAGTAATGAGTGACGACTATGAGTAATGAGTGACGACTATGAGTAATGAGTGACGACTATGAGTGATGAGTGACGACTATGAGTGATGAGTGACGACTATGAGTGATGAGTGACGACTATGAGTGACGACTATGAGTGATGAGTGACGACTATGAGTGACGACTATGAGTGACGACTATGAGTGATGAGTGACGACTATGAGTGACGACTATGAGTGATGAGTGACGACTATGAGTAGTGAGTGACGACTATGAGTAGTGAGTGACGACTATGAGTGATGAGTGACGACTATGAGTAATGAGTGACGACTATGAGTGATGACTATGAGTGACGACTATGAGTGATGAGTGACGACTATGAGTGACGACTATGAGTGACGACTATGAGTGACGACTATGAGTGATGAGTGACG